TTTCTTTTCTGATCAGGGGTCATTTTATGTCCTTGATGCCTTCTCACTGATGGCTTCAATTAGCTGAGCCTTCAGTCTGTCTTCCTGCCTCTTACTCTCTCATCCTCCAACCTCAACAAAGCATTAAAGAGCACAACCTCAGCTGGTCATGTGGCATATGCCTGTAATCCCAGCACCTGGAAAGCTGAGGTAGGAAGATCCCTTTTGGGGCCGGGGAGATGGCTCAGTAGAATAAGCACTTGCCTTGAAAGTGCATAGGGCCTGAGCTCAATCACCAGTTCCACCAAAAAAAAAAAAAAAAAAAAGGGAGATCCCTTAGCTCAAGGGCCAACTGGGTTACAAAGTGAGTTCAAGGCCAGCCTGAACAACATAGTGAAACTCCATCTCAAAAAGACAAAAAAGGGGCTGGTGAGATGGCTCAGTGGTCTAAAGCACCTACTTAGAACAAGTTTAACTAAAGCACAGGGACCACGGTTCAATCCCCCAGCATCACATGCCAGCCCCGCCCCCTGGTGGGCTGAGCTGGCCACACACACACACACACACACACACACACAAATAAATAAAATTTGGGAAAAAAAGCATTACCTCCATGTCCCTCACCCCTGCTTTTCCCTTTAACTTATTTACTTTTTCCATCATGCAAATAGCTTCCTTTATTATCTCTACCTTGTCCTTTTCAAATTCCTTTCCTTTCTCAGGAGAGATGGGGGTGAACCTAACGTCTTTGCATTGAGCTGTGTTCTTTTCTATTTTTTATTTTGACACAGGGTCTCACCAACTTGCTAAGAATCTTTGGCTGGGCTTCAGCTTGCAGTCCTCCTTCCTCATTCTTCCAGCATGCTCAGATTTTGTTTTGTTTTTGATACAGGGAGTCACTCTGCAGTTCAGGCTTACCTTGAGCTCATTTTGTAGCCCAGACTGGTCTCAAACTTACAACAATCCTCCTGCCTCAGCCTCCTGAGTGCTGGGACTACAGGTGTGCACCACTGTGCCCATCTTGGGATTTGGGATTATAAAGTGTGCATCGCCACATCTTTTTTTTTTTTTTTTTTTAATAGCCTAAGCTAACCTTGAACTCGCTATGTAGCTCACGGTGGCCTCCAAGTTGGGATCTTCCTGTCTCAGCCTCCTGTGTGCTGGATTGCAGGTGTGCACCAGTGAGCCCAGTCTCTGGTTGTCAGTTATTTCTTGTGCCCCACCTCTAAGCCTTGTGCTAGGAACATAAAGACAAATATGACAAAATTAAAGAAACAATTATGGTACAATGTAACAAGGATAGCGATGCTCTCTCAATGAACTTCAAGCTTTCCAAAGGGAGGAAACTGTCGGTCACTGGCATCCTGGGGTGGCACTTGTTTCACTTGGGGAGTAGGGGAGAACGAAACAGGCTCAGATGAGGTCTGTGACTGGCTGGGGGTCCAGGCTGACCAGCGTCTGTGCTGGGCATTGAGTTCAGCTCCGGAGACCTGTGTGACTCTGGTGGCCAGGTACTTGTCACCAGCACAGCCCGAGTGAGTCATGGCCAGGGTCAGCCTGTCTGGAGCCGGCTCAGCCACCGCTTCCTGACCATCTACGTCTCAGAATCCTTGTCCTCAGCCCAGCCAGGAATGACTCAGTGGAAAGCCAGAGCGTAGACGTGGCTCAGGGTCAGCCCAAGGTACCATTTTATTGCTGTCATTATCCTCTATCTTCAGGAGTCAAATCCCTGGTTGCTATGAAGTCAGGCAGCTGTGCTGAGGCATCCCCGCACTTTCCTGCTCTGCCCTGAGGGCATTTGCATATCCTAAAACTTATGACAATGTCAACAAGCTGACACTTATGGTCTATCCATTTTCTCTCTTTTTTATGCATTTCTCTCTCTCTGTCTCTCTGTCTCTGTCTCTCTCTCTGTCTCTCTCTCTCTGTCTCTCTCTCTCT